GACCCTTTTTTTTGGTCCACACTAGAATAGGATCGCATGGGTATTCACACCTATGCGATCCGGTTCTGCACATCGCACCGCGTTTTGCGGACCGCTTTGTGTTGTTAACTTAACATACACACCCGCAGAGGTTCGCATGAATGGGGTGCGTCAGATTTCACACAGAAAACGCTGAAAATTCTGCATGTCATCAGTGTGAACCAGGGCTGAATGTATTCATTTTATTTTTCTAAACTTCCATTTTATGATACATTTTCTGTAAGGATTTTAAATGTATACGGTATCTGTACATTGTGTGATGTAGAACATACTTTTCTTACCTCTTTAAATCCAAAAATACTTCTGAAAAATATTTGTGTATATAAATATTATAGTCATACAGTTATAATTTGTTTTTGTGCCATTGGGGAGATTTCCCTTCACTTCCTGTCTCATACCCAAACAGAAAGTGAGGGGAGACCCCTTCAAAGTGAGGTCATCCCTAATTGTCACCAGGGTCACCAGAGCTAGTTTTCCCATTGGGGAGATTCCCCTTCGCTTCCTGTCTCATACCCAAACAGTAAGCGAGGGGAGACCCCTCCAAAGTGAGGTCATCCCTGATTGTCACCAGGGTCACCAGAACTAGTGTTTCCCATTGGGGAGATTCCCCTTCACTTCCTGTCTCATACCCAAACAGAAAGCGAGGGGAGACCCCTCCAAAGTGAGGTCATCCCTGATTGTCACCAGGGTCACCAGAACTAGTGTTCCCATTGGGGAGATTCCCCTTCACTTCCTGTCTCATACCCAAACAGAAAGCGAGGGGAGACCCCTCCAAAGTGAGGTCATCCCTGATTGTCAGCAGGGTCACCAGAACTAGTGTTCCATTGGGGAGATTCCCCTTCACTTCCTGTCTCATACCCAAACAGAAAGCGAGGGGAGACCCCTCCAAAGTGAGGTCATCCCTGATTGTCACCAGGGTCACCAGAACTAGTGTTCCCATTGGGGAGATTCCCCTTCACTTCCTGTCTCATACTCAAACAGAAAGCGAGGGGAGACCCCTCCAAAGTGAGGTCATCCCTGATTGTCAGCAGGGTCACCAGAACTAGTGTTCCCATTGGGGAGATTCCCCTTCACTTCCTGTCTCATACCAAACAGAAAGCGAGGGGAGACCCCTCCAAAGTGAGGTCATCCCTGATTGTCACCAGGGTCACCAGAACTAGTGTTCCCATTGGGGAGATTCCCCTTCACTTCCTGTCTCATACCCAAACAGAAAGCGAGGGGAGACCCCTCCAAAAAGAGGTCATCCCTGATTGTCACCAGGGTGACCAGAACTAGTGTTCCCATTGGGGAGATTCCCCTTCACTTCCTGTCTCATACTCAAACAGAAAGCGAGGGGAGACCCCTCCAAAGTGAGGTCATCCCTGATTGTCAGCAGGGTCACCAGAACTGTTCCCATTGAAAGTTTTTTTTTCTTCCTCTGGTGACAACCCAAAATTTAGGATTTTCTTTTACTTTCATTCTTGGTGATAACAATAAACAGGACAAATAACACAAACATCAATAATAAACTGGCAGGTGTTCCAATTCTTCTCCACTCCATCCAAAATATAAAAAAAAATGCCTATAAAATTGTGAGCTGGACTTCATGTGTTCTCTCAGTAGGCATTGTTACCCAGCCCTTTCTATTTTCTAAATAACTCTTCCCACCTATGATATGGAGAGGAGGACATGGGAAGTTGTACTGTAGTTCTTAAATACTTTGGGGTTCATCACTAAAACTGAGGAGTGCAAAACCTGGTGCAGCTCTGTATGGTTGCCAATCAACTTCTAACTTCAGCTTGTTCAATTAGGCTTTGAAAAAAAAACCTGGAAGCTGATTGGTTTCTATCCACAGCTGAACCAGATTTTGCATTCTCCAGTTTTAGTAAATCAACCTATTTCTAGGCGGTCCTAGGATGATAAATATGTGACTGATGGTATAATCAGGTAAACATAAAGAGTAAAAAAAAAAGATAAACTAATAAAATTGTATAAAACTAATATAACTACCCACATCCAAGGACTGGTGAGCTGCAATATATTATATTCTTGTTGTTGGGTATAGATATACTTTATATTATAAATGGTCCAGAAATGCTCCAAACAGCCTTCATGGTTCATTCAAACCCAGGACCAGTTTTAAATTCCAGATCACTTCAGATCTCTGTCTCTTAAAGGGGCCAATTCACTAAAGGTTACCGCATGCGATAACACTGTCCTGTGCAGGGGCGGACTGACCATTTGGAAACTCGGACACTGCCCAAGGGCCTAGGGTCAGTAGGGGGCCCCATGAGATGCCCCTGGTACCTTTTTCATAGGCTTTTTTGAATTTGGGCAGGAAACAGGGGCCTCATGATCCCCTATTGCCCAGGGGCCCCATGAGTTGTCAGTCCGCCTCTGGTCCTGTGACTCTTTTTCATAAATTATTGCATGCGGTAACAAAATGTCCAATTCGCAAAAAAAAATAGATTCTACTGTATTTAACACAAAATTAAAAATGTGTCAGTAAATACCGCAAAAAAGCTGTTACGTTCAATTCACAAACAGAACAGAAAGTAAAAAAAATAAAATATTTATCACCAGGGTTTAGCTGGTAGTATCACATGCAGTATTTTTTCAGATGCAGCAAGGGGTCACCCTCCCCAACCGTCAGAGGTCTGGTATAGATATTAAGGGGAACCCCATGCCAAAATGTAAAGAAAAATGGTGTGAGGTCCCCTCCAGTTCCGTAACAGACCTAAAATCCCTTAGGATTGTGAGGAGACCCGCACGCCATTTTTTTCTTTTTTTTTTTTTTCTTTTTTTTTTTTTTGGTGTGGGCCAAAATCCATACCAGACCTATGGGCCTTTTTTTTCATTTTTGTGTGGGGTTCACCCAAAATCCATACCAGACCTAAGGGCCTTTTTTTTCATTTTGGTTTGGGGTTCCCCCAAAATCCATACCAGACCTAAGAGCCTTTTTTTTTCATTTTGGTGTGGGATTTTTCTTTAAAATCCATTAAAAACCCAAAGGGCCTGGTATGGATGGAGGGGGAGCCCCACACTGTTTTTTTTTCATCATTTGTAATTGCTGGTATATTTTGTGTACATTCAGCTGTCAGTGGGACACCCGCTAACAGCTGATGAGTCATCCGTTGTTAAGAACACTGCGGCTGGCTTCCTTAACAACCAGCTACCGTGCGCAAAATTACCGTCTGAAAATATGCAGTAATTACCGCAATACAGATATTTTACCACATGAGTTATTTACTGCAATATTCTTAGTGAATTGCACATTTGAAAAAAAACTTTCCGCATGCGTTATTTTACCGCATTTTTGCAGTAATTATTTAACTCTTAGTGAATTGATCCCAAAATCTCCAAAGTACTCTCCAGGGGTAAAATAATAATATAATATAATATAATATAGCATTACATAATATTTTAGATTGTAACCTCTAATGAACAGCACTCTCTTACTCCTCTTGTATTGAATCATATTGTAACTGTACTGTCTGCCATCATTTTGTAAAATGCTGCACAACCTATTGCAGCTACATAAATCCTGAATAATACTAATAATAATAATATGTAATATAAAAGCTCTGATAGTGTGTTACCATTTTTGTTTTACAAATTCCAAGTTAAAACAAAATATCATTACATTAAACAAAGTATCATATTTACAGGTGTTATATATTACATTAGTGTATCACACATAATGTTGTAACTCAATTACAACCTAGGCTCATATCTGAAAACACCCTCCACCTACCAACGCATTTCGTCATCACATTTTCATCAAATAGTTGTATTGCTAGTTAACAAAGAATGACCTTACCTATATATTTCCACATATCAAACAAAAAATGAAGGTGATATGTATCTGTTATCTCAGTAGTCTATCAGCAGAGCAAATAATTGCACCACCTGAGCTACAAAAACTATCAGGTACCAATACGTACTTTTGCTTCCAAACCCTCCACCCCCACAGGGCAGATCCAGACATTTTTGAGTAAGTGCTGTGATGGTGCTGAGAGTATAAGTGGGGGGGAGCTAAGTCCTAGATTTGGAATTTTATTTTATAATGAAAGCAGACATACCATAATAAGAAATGCTTAGTCACAAAATGAACGATGCTATTCGCAGTCTAATATGAACACAGATTTGAGCCCTTTTTAAGTACAATATAACGTTCAGAGTGTAGTGATCCCAGCAAGTGTCAGGGCCAGTAATTACAATCCCAGCAATAACCCTCTGCAAATGTTAGGGCCAGCAATGGCAACCACTAGTAAGTCTCAGGGCCAGCAATAATAAAGCTCAGCAATAACCCCCAGCAAGTGTCAATAACCCCAGCACAATAATAACACTGACCACATTAACCCCCATCCCCCCCCCAAGCACAAAAATAGATCTAAAAAAAACCTTTATTAGGTCTTTAGGGCCCATTCACTCCGTCCATGTTTTTCCAATGATGTGCGGCAGCACACTTTAGGTTCACTGGTGTAATGATTTGCCATACATTCTGAATGGCATTTCACTTTTCAATGGACATGCCTTCTAGCACAGGACTACACATGGCAATGCAATAATGTGTGTTGTGGTGCACTACCAAAAAATTCTACATGCACTTAATTTTTTGACACTGTACATTCATTACCAAGTGTGTTGGAGTGGGATTTAGAATGAATGGCACTGCATAGCATTAATGCAATTAATGTGTATTGCCACAAGTTGATGGTGTAGAAAACTGCTCTTCCATGCTTTACTCCAAAATTCTAAAAAAAAAACAGCAGACATGAGATCTAGCTGATATAAAAATACCCAAGAACCAACCTTAGGTATTATCCCAAAAGTAGTTATTAAAAAAAAAACAATAAATATCGTACTCACATGATCCGTTCACCACAAACAGCCATACAACAGGAAAGATCCCAGAAGAATGACAACGCGGGAAGCCCTCAAAATGCATTGCATGGTGACTTACCTTAACAGGAAGCAGGTGGATGTTCAGCAGTCTCGGCACACCATCTTTCAATGGATCATATTGTGACTAAGAACACTGGGATCTTTACACCTTCTCAGAGCTGTCCCCAGTAGATTGACATGCATCCACCCTAGTCCTTAGGCTAGAGCAGGGGCTGACTGACTATTTGGGAACTTGGGAACTGCCTGAGGGCCCGGGGTAAGTAAGGGGCCTCATAAGATGCCTCTGGTACCTTTCATAGGCTTTTTGGGTTTGGTTTGAGTGTGGGCAAGGAAACAGGGGCCCCATGATCCCCTATTGCCTGGAGGGCCCATGAGTTTGTCAGTCTGCCCCTGGGCTAGAGTCTTGAGCAGTTGTATATCAACTAGGGGACAGTCCTGAGTCCTAGCAGAGCCGGAACTATAATGTATTTGTTGGGAGCTGCTAAGCTACAGTATTAGTATAGTCTGCAGACCCACAAGACCACAGTAATAGGTGAAGGGGCACTGTACAAAGCAGAGTCTGCATGCATAATGGAAATTGCTCGTACTTGCTGCTGATCTGATTGGGGTACTTTTGGAGTGCTAGCAGAATTTGTTTTAGGGGGTATAGCATACCCAAGCACCCCATTGCTCTGCCACAGGCCACCCCAAATCATTAAAGAAAACTATACTTACCTGTCTCCTTCAGTCCTCAAACTGGTCCAGTGACGTCCTCTTCTTCATCAGTGGTGGGTAGTCCTTTCTCCTGGACTGAACACCATAAATGAAACTGGCATTTGTCCTTTCAGGCACCCAGCACTGTCATGGGGGGCTGGGGTGAGAGTCTTCAGCCCTGTGAAAGTTCGAACTTATGACTTACATAAGCCTTCCTCATTGTGCTCCTGCCCGGCTAAACTGGAGCAGTAGGAAGGTGAGTATGCATTCCTGAGTCCGTAAAGTGAACCCGTCGCTTTGGGCTTCACTTTAAGCCAATGGGGTTGATTTACTAAAACTAACGAGTGCAAAATCTGGTGCAGCTGTTATTGGTAGCCAATCAGCTTCTAACTTCAGCTTGGTCAATTAAATTTTGACAATAAAACCTGGAAGCTGATTGGTTTCTATGCAGAGCTGCACCAGATTTTGCACTCTCCAGTTTTAGTAAATCAACCCCAATGTGTAGTTCAAAAACAGCTGCACAGCAAAATATCATCATGCTGGAACACCACAACCCTTTCCTAGAAAATAAAAGCTTACTTTACATAGTGTCCCCGCATCTCTTCCTGCCAGGAACATCTGGATTAATTTATAAAAGATCTGTCATTTTTTAAAACAAGCATTCATCAATCAGTATGATGAAAGTTATTGCATATATAAGATATTTTATTTGCCAAGATCGATTATTTTAGAGCTGTCTCTTCCCATGAAACAGTTGGACCAACTTTTAGTTGTGTGTCTGGCTTATGGAGTTATCTTTAGTTCAAACCTTCCACATATCTCTGTTTTAAGCCAGTCTTCTTTCTAACAAACACAACTGCTTATTTCCTACTAAAGCGGAGTGATGTCAGTTAAATTGATTTTGCTGCAAAACTGCAATTTAAGTCACGTAGCGCATAGAGCAACAGAGTCCCTCCCACCATTGATGTCTCTAAAAAATTACAATTTAACTGTCAGAAAATTTGACTAAATCCAAAAAATGTTATTTCATTCAATAGTCTGCTTAGAATTAAAATTTTCTTTAAAAAAAATCTATATTTATCTATATTTAAAGGGTGTTTTTTGGGGCTGTATTTAGGTTAGTCTGATTTAGTGCGTGTGTGTTTTATCTTTGTCATTTTACGTATACTTTGTTATTTGCTATTTATGTGGATTTAGCTTTTTAAATTTAGTTTTTTTTCACAGTTTTTTTTTTCTTTTATGAAAAAACATAAAATAACCAGGCAAAAAAAGAGCCATCTTCAGGTATAAAAACAAGTCCAAGATTGTGAAAGAAGCATCTTTAACTAGAGATGTGCAAGATGGAAAAATTTGTTTTGTTTAATTTTTTTTCAGCTTAATTCGATATGTAAATAATTTAATTTCGTCATAATCATTATGTTGGAATTATTTGTTTTCAAAACGATTTGTTAATTGGAAAGAGTATATATTCGTTGTTCGAAATCGATTCGTATTTTTGGAAGTTCTGTTATTCTGTTGTTATTTCAGAAGATTGGCTATATGTGTTGTGTTATTAACCACTTGTCCTCCTGAGGATTTACCCCCCTTCCTGTCCAGGCCATGTTTTGTGTTATGGCGCTGCATTACTTTGACTGACAATTGCGCAGTCATGCAACGCTGCACCCAAATGAAGTTTACTGCCTTTTTTTGAGCTTTCTTTTGATGGCATTTGATTGCCTGTGCGGGTTTTATTTTTTTTTGCTATAAAAAAAAACTATATTTTTGACTTTTTGCTATTACACATGTCCAGTAAAAAAATTTTAAAAATCTATATTTGTCATAAATTTAGGCCAAAATGTATTCTACTCCATATCTTTGCTAAAAAAAAATCCCAATACGTGTAAATTAATTGGTTTACGTGAAAGTTATAGCGTTTACAAATGTATTTATTATTTATTTATTACAGGTACTTATATAGCACCATCAATTTACACAGCACTTTACATATATATTGTACATTCACATCAGTCCCTAACCCTCAAGGGGTGTACAATCTAAGGTACAAATGGCAGTATATATACTGTAATTGTTTTTTGTTTTTTTTTACTAGTAATGGAGGCGATCAGCAACTTATAGCGGGACTGCAGGACTGCGGCGGGCATTCTGTCACTGGGGGGAACTGACTTGGTGTCACTGCCATCCCCAATGACACCAATACAGTGATCAGTGCTAACAAAAAGCACTGACACTGTACTAATGGCACTGGGCAGGAAGGGGTTAACATGAGGGGCGATCAAAGGGTTAACTGTGTGCTGGGAGTGTTTTACTGTGGGGGCAGTGTGTTTCACTGTAAGCACACTGCTCTGGATAGCTGCCCTCCTCCCCATCAGAGATCCTCGGTAATCACCAGGCGCCAGCGGGTAATCACCGTCCGGGACCTGGTGACTGACAGCCGCGAATGGCGACGCAGGTAGGGCACACGCACAGCTCATGTGCACCCCCTACCCAGAGGTACAAAATCACGTATATATACATGATTTTGTGCACCCCTACTGCCCTGAAGCAGTATATCTACTATAGAGCGGCAGGGATGTGGTTAAGTTGAATTCATTTCCCCATTCCCAACTGACTTTGCTGGGCCATGCACATACTAATTAAATAAATGGTCGCTCAAGATCAATCCCAATACAAAAAGAATCTTATTAGAATATTCACACAAACATTCACCAGAATAAAAACGAATGGATGCGAATCAATATGGATCATTCGTTATGTCGTTACGTTATTTCAGATGTTTCAAACATTGAAACATCTGAAATAACGACTACTTGACTACTGCAACTCCATCCTGACTACTGCAACTCCATCCTCACTGGCCTACCCAAGTGCAGGCTCTCCCCGCTCCAGACCATCCTGAACTCAGCTGCCAGACTCATCCACCTTACCACCCGCTCCACCTCTGCCACCCCCTCTGCCTCTCCCTCCACTGGCTCCCGATTGCCCAACGCATCAAATTTAAAACTCCTTACCCTGACCTACAAAGCCGTTCACAACACTGCCCCTGACTACCTCACCAATCTGATCACCAGGTACCACCCTACCCGTACCCTTCGCTCCTCACAGGACCTCCTTCTATCCTGCTCCCTGGTCTCCTCCTCCCATGCACGACTGCAGGACTTCTCCAGGTCCTCCCCCATCCTCTGGAACTCACTGCCCCAATCCATCAGACTGTCGCCTTCTCTATTCACATTCAGGCGCTCCCTCAAAACCCATCTCTTCAGGGAAGCCTACCCCCACCCTCACCTAACGGCCATCCTCCCTCATTCCTCCTACCACTTCATCCCCCCAGCCACTTCCTACTGTACCTTTACCCCCTCCCTCCTAGATTGTAAGCTCGTAAGAGTAGGGCCCTCTTACCCCCCTCGTACGCTGTCTGTCTTTGTTGTACTGTGCCATGTACTGTCCCCCCCTATTGTACAGCGCTGAGCAAACCCTTTGGCGCTATATAAACTCGTAGTAATAATAATAATAATAATAATTGACACAAGGCCCAAACTATCACATCCTGTCATCTGAATGAAATTAATGAATACAAATGAATTTGTTGTTTTCATTCTAAATTATTTCTGATTAGTGGAAATTCGTTACTATTGTGATTCGGAGATTCGGATACATCTGGATCTCTGAATAAGGCAAATTTTGTCCGAATTTTGATTCGTAGTGAAACAAACTGCACATTTCTATCTTCAACCCTCAGGACTTGTTAAAAGTTCATGGCACCCTTAAAAGACACTTTCATTTTACCTTTCCCAGTGAAATAGCAAACATTTGACAACACATTAGATTTGTGCTGAAATTTGAGGAAATGCAAACTCTCAGTTTAACTCATTCCTATTCAGCACACCCACAGACACTCCTGGCCAAATGATTTTATTGGGATTTTTTTTAGATCAAAAGTACCAACATCCCAAAATTATATCATATTAATTTAGAAAAAAATTTCAACTGAATTTCCATGGTACTGAATTAAAGTAAAGTATAACTAAAGACTAAACTTTTTTTCATTTTGGTTAGAATGGAAATGTATTAGAACACCTGTCAGTTTTATTGCTGTCTGTGTTCCTGTTAGGGATATTCACCCTCCCGATTTGCCCTGTTTACCATTATCATCAAAAGTGAAAGCAAAAGAAAATCCAAAATTTTTGGTTGTCCTCAGAAAAATAATAGGGGGGAAATCTTCCAATGAGGACACTAGTTCTGGTGACCTGGGGGTCCCCAAGAAATTCCCTTCCTTAGCAGGGATCATTTCTCACTTCCTGTTTTGGCTATAGGACAGGAAGTCCTCCTCAGTGGGACACAGATAGCAAAAAAATAAACTGAAAGGGGTAAAAACCTTTACACACTATATCCAAAATGAAAAAAAAAAAGTTTTGCCCATAGTTCTACTTTACTAGCATACACTGTTAGAAAATCTATACTGTTTATTTGTATATTATAAAAAAATAAAAAAACATAAAAGAAAGAGGAAATATCCATCATATTCCTTCTGTTGCATATATTTTTCAGTTCCTCTTCTAGCCCACCAAACTGATTTTACAAATAGTCAGTATACTAGTCATGCAAATACACAAACGGCCTTTGCTACATCTAAAAAGATGATGTAAAAATCAATGGTGGGAAGAGCTGTTTTTCTATACGCTTCGTTGAACATATGCCTACTTCTTCAGGGGAGTGGAGGCAATACTATATTGTGTTATTATTTCAGGTACTTATATAGAGCCGTCAATTTATGCAGCACTTTACATATGTATATATATATATATATATATATATATATATATATATATATATTGTACATTCGCAATAGTCCCTAACCCCCAGGGGGTGTACAATCTAAAGTCCCTAACTTACATCAATATCAGGGCCAGTTTAGACAAGATCAAATTAACATGCCAGCATGTCTTTGGAGTGTGGGAGGAAACCGGAGTACCTGGAAGAAACACACATACGCACAGGGGGAACATGCAAACTCCAGGCAGGTGGTGCTGTGATTGGGACTTGAACAGGGGTGGACTGACCATTTGGAAACTTGGGCACTGCCCGAGGGCCTGGGGTCAGTAGGGGGCCCCGCGAGATGCCCCTGGTACCTTTTTCATAGGCTTTTTTGAGTTTGGGCAAGGACACAGGGGCTCCATGATCCCCTATTGCCCAGGGGCCCTGTGAGTTGTCAGTCCGCCCCTGGACTTAAACTGACAACCGTAGTACTGCTAGGCGGAAGTACTAACCATTTAGCCAGTGTTAATGCAATGGGTTCCAAATCGGTTAACACCTAACAGACAATAAACCAATCACCTTGACCAGATCACTTGCCTGGACAGGTTCAGATGCAAAATAGATAAGTATACAAATCTCTTTTAGGTAGGATAAGTAGCTGGAGGGAGGGACAATATTTAAGCATAGTTATAGTTGGAGGTTTCTTCTACTTTAAGTAGAGCAGAGTTTTTTAACCAATTTGCATCCAGGATATTTTTTTTATTTTTCACACCCCCCAAACATTTCATATTTTCTGAAAGCAGGGGCCCTGGAGAATAAAATGATGGCAGTCGCAATTTTTATTTTTTTTATGTAGCACAATAGTCGCATAACTTTTTATCAAAGCATATTTTCTGGAAGAAATACACTAAAATCAATTTTAGTGAATACAAGCACAAAATAATACCCATGGTTCTGGAAAAATGTAAAAGATGAGGTTGCTTCGAGTAAATAGATATCAAAGACGTCAAGACTCAAATCTGCATGTATCCATGAAATGATGAAAAACTACAGTACCTATCATAGGTGACCCTTTAAAAGTCTTTACAGGTTATCCGTTTAGAGTTAGCCAATAATCAAACCAGTACGGCTTTGAAATCACGCTACTTCAACGCAATTTAAAAACCACAGATCAGTGCAATTTGGATGTTCGATTTCATTGTGGCTGGAAACTTAATTTAACAAAAGTCAATGCAAGTTGCAATGAAATCACAGAAAAGTAGTGCAGGAACCTTTTTAAAGTCATTGAGTCTTGAGTCACAACAATTTGAATGGTTCCATTGCCACAAATGGAGTGCAACTTATTTGATTTTGAACTCTCAAATCGCATGACAAATTGCATTGATGTGAACCAGGGCTTAAAGCGTTACTAAATCCCGGACCAGGGGTGGACTGACCATTTGGAAACTCGGGCACTGCCTGAGGGCCCGGGGTCAGTAGGGGGCCCCATGAGATGCCCCTGGTACCTTTTTCATAGGCTTTTTTGAGTTTGGGCAAGGACACAGGGGCCCCATGATCCTCTATTGCCCGGGGGCCCCATGAGTTGTCAGTCCGCCCCTGTCCCGGACCCTGCATTCACTATGTCTGGTCTCCCCGGACCCTGCATTCACTATATCTGGTCTCCCCGGACCCTGCATTCACTATATCCGGTCTCCCTGGACCCTGCATTCATTATATCTGGTCTCCCCGGACCCTGCATTCACTATATCTGGTCTCCCCGGACCCCGCATTTACTATATCTGGTCTCCCCGGACCCTGCATTCATTGTATCTGGTCTCCCCGGACCCTGCATTCACTATATCTGGTCTCCCCGGACCCTGCATTCACTATATCCGTTCTCCCCGGACCCTGCATTCACTATATCTGGTCTCCCTGGACCCTGCATTCACTATATCTGGTTCTACCCAGACCCTGCATTCACTATATCTGGTCTCCCCGGACCATGCATTCACTATATCTGGTTCTCCCGGACCCTGCATTCACTATATCTGGTCTCCCACAGTACAAACATGGAAATGCAATTATTTTAGTAAATATAAACTGTTAAATACCTTTTCTCATCAGCAGTATATAGCAATCTTGTGACTTCTATCAGTGTCCGTCCAAGCACTGGTAAAAGCTTGCAGAAGGCGTTTTCATTCCCCTCTGACTGTCCTGTGAGGCTGCATGACCCCTGACCCTCTTTCTGGAAAGTGCTAATTGGTCCTGTGCTGATCACATGCACCCTCCCAAAGAAAAACTCTCTAGCAATACACACTAAACAGAGCATGTGCAGAGTGACTCCTAGAGATCTGTACTATCAGCAGATGGATTGGGGACTGTGGAAGAAAGGGAGGGTCAGAGAAGTCAGGATCAAACAACCTTTTTACACAATGCGGAGGATTAACCCCGTAGGTTCCACAGCAAGTATAACAAGCATGCTTTACTGCATATACAGACTGATTTTACTGTTGTGGGTTTAGTAACACTTTAAGTGTGAATCATGGCCCTACAATTATTGTTCTCACTTGTTATTGGCGAAATCTCACAAATATGGTGCAGTCGCTGTTTAGACATATGTGAGGGACCTGTGCATGCATTTTTCTTTCAGAATGGAGGTGCTTTTACATTTTTTTTTAATTTTAATCAATTTTATTACATTTACATTTTTTACACTTTTTTTTTATTCAAATGTTCCTTGATCTTCTCTGGCTTTTACTGTCTGGCCCGTTTACTAGTCTTGCAGTTCCTCTCTGGAGGAACTGGAGAGCCCAGGAACCCGCACAGGTGGTGGCTGTGGAGATGGGGCAGCCCTTCTCACTATTGTAAGCGTGTTCAGGTGGCTATAAAGCGGCCTGGATCACTTTTACTGAACAGCTGATCACCAACTACAAGCAATGACACCAATCTGCAGCCATGAGCTCATTTTATCCACTTGAATTCCACTACACTTAAAATGGTTTTAGGACATCAAATCTTTAAAGCATATCTAAATCGAACAACAAAAAAAATGTAATATATTGCAGCGTTCCAGTCCTTTGATGAGCTTTGTTACTTGGTAACACGGTCTATAATACACTTCCTGTCATAGGATGGCAATGCTCACTCATTGTACTCAGAGCCCAGGAACCCACACAGGTGGTGGCTGTGGAGATGGGGCAGCCCTTCTCACTATCATAAGCATGTTCAGGTGGCTATAAAGCTGCCTGGATCACTTTTACTGAACAGCTGATCACCAACTACAAGCAATGACACCAATTTGCAGCCATGAGCTGGTTTTAATCACTTGAATTCCACTACACTTAAAATGGTTTAAGGACATCAAGTCTTTAAAGCATATCTAAATCCAACAACAAAAAAAATGTAATATATTGCAGCGTTCCAGTCCTTAGATGAGCTTTGTTACTTGGTAATTTGGTCTATAACACTCTTCCTGTCATAGGATGGCAATGCTCACTCATCGTACTGTAAGTATGGAGGAGAAGTGTTGTCACCCTAGGACAGGACTACAGAAACCTCCCCCTCTCCTCATCTTCATAACATAGAGGAGAGAGGTTCTGTAGTTGGGCAGCACAATGGCTAAGTGGTTAGCACTTCTGCCTGGTAGTGTTAGGGGTTGTTGGTTCAAATCCAACCATGGCACCACCTGCCTGGAGTTTGCATGTTCTCCCTGTGCCTGCATGGGTTTCCTCCCACACTCCAAAGACATGCTGGTAGGTGAATTGGCTCCTGTCTAAATTGTCCCTAGTATGTGTATGTATGAATGTGAGTTAGGGACCTTAGATTGTACACCCCTTGAGGGTTAGGGACTGATGTGAATGTACAATATATATGTAAAGCGCTGTGTAAAGTGATGGTGCTATATAAGTACCTGAAATAAATAGTCCTAGTAATAGTTCAGAAGCAGTATAGGCACAGAGTATAGGGAGTTTTCCACTCACACAATTCCTGGCAGGATCAACAGATATTTTTTTTTTTCATTGATTGAACAGATATAACAAAACCCTTTTATTGATATACAGTATATACAGACCGAAAGGGAACAGATATGGTTAGCACTTCCGCCTGGCAGTACTAGGGTCATTGGTTCAAATCCAAACCACAGCACCACTTGCCTGGAGTTTGTATGTTCTCCCTGTGCCTGTGTGTGTTTCCTCCAGGTCCTCCAGTTTCCTCCCACACTCCAAAGACATGCTGGTAGGTTAATTGGCTCCTGTCTAAATTGTCCCTAGTATGTGTATGTATGAATGTGAGTTAGGGACCTTAGATTGTACGCCCCTTGAGGGTTAGGGACTGATGTGAATGTACAATATATATGTAAAGTGCTGCATAAATCGATGGCACTATATAAGTACCTGAAGTAAATAAGGTAAGTTCATTGTTTGGATTTACATCCACTTTAATAAAACAATAAAAGGCCAAGCCTAACAATGCTGTAAAGTGCAAAAGCCTACACCAACCAATCACATTCCTCCCTTACTGTAGTTAGATCACAGACAGATGCTTCTTTTGATTGGCTGTTAGGGGACACCCGTGCCGTCCACATCGCCGTTTGATTTCACGAAACCCAAGGCTGTTGTTCGTTGAGACGTTTTGATAAATGAGGCCCATTATGAGCAAATTGAAGTGGAAGTAGTAAATCCCCGAGCACCATGTTCATCCTCTATAAACCTTTATCTAATCGCTTACCACTGCATCTAAATATGTTTTGAAAACATAATTACAGTTTACAAGATCCATCTACATCATCCAGAGCTGTCCCAGTCTTCTATCCCCCGCAGGCTTGTCTGTCTTCCAAGTCATCGGATCATTACTCCGCTTTCTTCCACAACTTCTGTTTTGGAATCATTATTTAGTTTGAAGTGTGAAAGTCTAACAAATGGGGCTCTGGGATCGGAATGTTGGAGTCAAACTCCAGCTTTATTTAAAGGTGCACTCCATGCAGATATAACATCGCCAATTTATCCAGTTTGTATTCATTAAAACTGCACTCCAGCCTTACTTTCAGGCCAGCACGGTTGTACAGGCTCCTCTCATGTACTGAAACTTCTTATTGGGATTTCTTTGCACACTGTGAGATTCTCACAGTGTTCTTTAGAAGCTGCAGCAAATCAGAGAGAGCACTTATGGCCTGGCTGGAGAAGGTGCAGCATCATTTATCTTTTCTCCCCAACCTAACTGTCCTCTGCCCACCTCTTTCATTCCTTGGATTTCAGTTCATTCAGTCATGGAGGCTCACCATCGCATGTGGACATTATCTAGGACTAGGATTATGAAAGACCTGGGACACTTTGGAGGATGTATGGGGTCACTCTGGAAGACGTAAGGGGGCACTCTGGAGGTACTAAGTTATTACCTCTACAGTACCCCTTTATATCCTCCAGAGTGACCCCATATTTCCTACTCCAGAGTGCATCCCTTAGTGCCTCCAGGGTGCCCCTTACATCCTCTAGAGTACCCCCTTAGTAATACTGTACTAAGGGGTCACTCTGGAGGATGTAAAGGGGCACTCTGGAGGCACTTTACATCTTCCCCCTTATGTCCTGCTCCTCCAGAGTGCCCCTTAAGTTAGTGCCCCCTTATGTCCTCCTACACCTCCACAGTGCCCCCTTATATCCTGCTCCTCCAGAGTGCACACTAGTTAGTGCCCCCTTATGTCCTCCTACACCTCCACAGTGCCCCCTTATATCCTGCTCCTCCAGAGTGCACACTAGTTAGTGCCCCCTTATGTCCTCCTACGCCTCCACAGTGCCCCCTTATATCCTGCTCCTCCAGAGTGCACACTAGTTAGTGCCCCTTATGTCCTCCTACGCCTCCACAGTGCCCCCTTATATCCTGCTCCTCCAGAGTGCCTTATATGTTAGTACTTCCTTATGGTCCACCTTCTCCTCCAGAGTGCCCCCAAAGTTAGTTCCCCCTTATGTCCTGCTCCTCCAGAGTGCCCCAAAAGTTAGTGCTCTCTTATGTCATCCTCCTCCTCCTGAGTGCCCCCTTTCACATACCTTCGGGCCTGGCTGCAAGCAGCTGTCGGTAAAATACTTTAGAAAATAATCCTCTGCAACTCTTCCGGAGCTGAGTTCATTGCATAAAAAAGCACAGCGACCTCAGTAATGACATCAATGAGTCTAAAATAAGGAGATCTATGGCACCCTGAAATGCTTTGGTGCTCATGGATCATATGTCTAGCAGTTTTTCAAGCGAAACTGTATAAAAACTACTCAGTTTGGGTGCCCCCAATTTTTGAAAGGCCCCACTATGTAGATGACTGACGAATCCAAACCATGTGGCACCACTATCGACTTAACCCTCCTGGAGGTATTCCCGAGTGTAGCTCTGGGTAAAGTTTCAGTACCACAAGCGGTAAACCCCGAGCCATACTTGGGATTACCATGCAGCACTGCTCCGGGATCCCTCGATCACTTGACTTGTCCTGCGC